CAATAAATTCATAATTATATTATTAATTCAAGCCAGATTATGATATTAGAGAACTCTGTGAGTCATCATACCACATGCGATAAAATTTAAATTAATTGTACAGTCAGCTTCATAATAATATTAGGTGAATGGTGGTCAAGTACTATGGGCAATAGTGTTAACTGCCCATTGCCAGTCATGTCATCTCGTTCTATCGCAAAGAATCGCCATTTGATTAGAGCGATAGCAAAAACGGAAATGAATAGTTAACAGTGTGGCCGTGTGTACATACATACCATCAAAAACATAACTTGTAAAAAAAAATGTCTCTCATCTCAGTTATTCTACCAAGTCAGTAATAAACTCGGCTTATCACGCTCCCGCATGTCTAAAATGTTTGCTCAGTGTTGATTTAGTCGATTTCTTCATGATGTACATGTAAAACAAAAAAGAAAATTTTCAATATTACAGACCTAAAGCAGATGCCCCGAACACTGTACAAGATATAGAAAAACTTAACTATTTCACATGTAGCAAATTTAATAAACATTTTTGGGTTCATAGTAGTCATGTCACTAGGACGCATAGTTTCCGAGGATTAAGCGAAAAACCTTCAAACTCTCCCCGCCGGCTCAATGGCTAAGGGCGGGGACTTTTTATATGTTGACCTCCTAACTAGTCTAAATAAAGTCCCGAAGTCAGAAATTGTGTTCCACGCATTTCACTCTACACCGTTGTTAAAGAATTCATTGACTGGACTAATATTGTTTTATCCCAACTAATATTATAAATGCGAAAGTAACTCTGTCTGTCTGTCTGTCTGTCTGTCTGTCTGTCTGTCTGTCTGTTACGCTTTCCCACTTAAACCTCGCAACCGATTTTGATGAAATTTGGCATAGAGATAGTTTGAGTCCCGGGAAAGAACATAGGATAGTTTTTATCCCGGTTTTTGAAACAGGGACGCGCGCAATAAAGTTTTTCTGTGACAGACAAAATTCCACGTGGGCGAAGCCGCGGGCAGAAAGCTAGTAGAGCTTATAAAAATTTGCCAACACCTTTTAAAGTCGCCCTCTTTGAAATTTAATTTGTGCCCTTATTATTTATTTTTATCAGTCTCCACACTAAGAACTTTATGAAGCTGACTGTACAAGGTTAGAAGTTATCGCTCTGGCACTATTAATTATTTTGTAGGGATGTCAAAATATAATCGAATATTCGATCATTAAAAAAGCTATTGTTTCTTTGATACCTACTTAATCTCAATCAATTCTGGGTTTTTAGGGTTCCGTAATTCTGATAAGCCTTGTCCTTGTTCCTTAAGAACCCTTATACTTATACCCTTGTAGTTTTGTCATGTTTTTGCTTGAAGACTGTAGTTGGCACTAGGGGGCTGTAATTTTATGGAAGTAGGTATGTATATCAATCACGCCGACAAAACGGTAAAATATTTTTTTTAAATATATTTTTTAGCATAGCTCCCATACAAGTAACGTAGGGATGATTTATTTTATCGTCTACCCCATAGTGTGGGGTATCGTTTAATAGGTTCTTAAAAACGAGTTTCAGAGTAACATACTCATACTGTGAATATACGAGTGTTGAAATCGAATGTATCGATTAATATTAGCAATGCCCATCACTAATCGGCAAATTTTATTTTATATTTCTTTTACCTACTAAAAATTTCGGGGTTTTTTGTCCCATTTTACGGGAAAATAACGTTGTAGCGATAAGGATAACCCTGTACAATCCAAGTAGGTATTATTTTGTGTACTTATATACCATTGCTGGTCCAACCAAAGACCATGATTAAACAACCCACCAACGAACGTCTACCCGGTTACCTTCTGTCCCATAAGAAGAAAATGATGGTCCGGCTTCTGTTTGTGAGCCTTCTGCTTGCAGCCTGTGTGTGCGGTATCTTGGGTGCATACCCTCAGAATAACACGAAGCATAACGAGGAGCTGCGTGAGCATTTTGAAGAGTGGCGTCAGAATTCCGACGAGCTGCGCCAATATTACGACCAGCTGCGTCAGAATTATACTCATCGGAGCGACGAGTTGCGCCAGCATTACGACCAGCTGCGTCAAAATTATACTCGTTCAGCAGACGAGAAGCGCCAATATTACGACCAGCTGCGTCAGAATTATACTCATCGAAGCGACGAGTTGCGCCAGCATTACGACCAGCTGCGTCAAAATTCTACTCGTTCAACAGAAAAAAAGCGCCAATATTACGACCAGCTGCGTCAGAATTATACTCAACGAAGCGACGAGTTGCGCCAATATTACGACCAGCTGCGTCAAAATTATACTCGTTCAGCAGACGAGAAGCGCCAGTATTACGAGCAGCTACGTCAGAATTATACTCTTCGAAGCGACGAGTTGCGCCAGCATTACGAGCAGCTGCGTCTGAATTCTACACTTTCAACAGAAAAAAAGCGCCAATTTTACGACCAGCTACGTCAGAATTATACTCGTTCAGCAGACGAAAAGCGCCAGTATTACGACCAGCTGCGTCAAAATTATACTCGTTCAGCAGACGAGAAGCGCCAATATTACGACCAGCTGCGTCAGAATTATACTCTTTCAACAGAAAAATAACGCCAATATTACGACCAGCTGCGTCAGAATTACGAGCAACTGCATCAGAATAAAACGCAGCATTAACCATAATTATTATGAGTATTACAATCCTCATGATGGTCGCATAGGACTTCCCAGTTTGAGACCTGGTAAAGCTATACATTATACCACGATAAACTCTGAAGATGGTCTGAACTTGGCTAGTAAGTTTCAAATAACCTGTTTGTAAGTAAATTTTAGATAAATATCCACTTGTAGTTTCCTAAGAATTTTTGCCAATGTTCTATATTTTTTTATTTGTTTCATTCATGTAACTTAATTTCATTATTATAAATTACTAGCTGACCCGGCGAACTTCGTACCGCCTTAGCGTAGAGATTTTCTTAATATTTTTTTCCGTAAGAACCATCCTTGGACTTCCACAAACATTTTAAAAAAAGAATTATCGAAATCGGTTCAGCCGTTCACACGTGATGCCGTGACAACGCGAAACGGGTTTCATTTTTATATATATAGATAAACTATGTCACTACTTAATCATCAATAGCTAGTCAATTTAGCTATTCACTGTGGAAGTAACAAATAAAATTAATTAAGTTAGTTCAGTGATCGCGGAAGACAGAGTGTAACTTCGATATATTTTCTTCAAAGGCGATGAGTGAGCGAAGAACGGTGAACGTTTGTTCGGTCAGATCGGGGCTGTCCCAATTTCATAAGCAGAAGCGGATTGCTCAGAAATCTAAAGCGGGGCCAAAAGTTACGGTTGTGGTGGATAGTCGCCACAGTTTTATCAAAATCGTTGAGTAGTTTTTGAGTGAAAGAGTAACAAACATCCATTTATCCACTCATATTTCCAAAATCAATGCCTTTTAAAAGCCTATTTGCAAAAAATAATCGAGTCCTATGAGTTACATTTACGTAATAATATTAGTAGGATTAAGTTGTTTGTACGAGTATGTTTGGTACTTTATAATAAATGTTCAATTATACTATTTGTTGCATCTCTTATTTTACCTTGTCACATACCTATTGGCTTTTCTCTCACATATAATAGAGACGATTTAACGAAAAGTTGATTTTAGTGAGCGAGATTTTTCTTTGAGAAACATGTATAAGTTAATTAGAAAAATTAATATAGACCTGTAGTCCTAAGATGCGCGTCGCGATAAGCGGTTATCACGCCATTTTATCGATTTTGCCCATACATTTTGACGTCGATAAAAGTTATCATGGCGCGCATCTTAGGCCCACAGATTGGATGGGATTAAAGTGGATTGACCCATCATCAAGAAAATGCAACAAGCTTCAGCTTTTCAAATTCAAACTATTTATTGCATTTCACAGAAAATATTATTATACATTAGTATACAGGGTGTAAGGTAAATGGGTATATGAGCCGACACTAGCCCATGTTAACATGGTCATATAAATGGTATGGTGAAGTCAGAAAGGACAATGACCAAAAATGTATGGAGTGTGGTCCAAATGTCCACCACTAACGAGACCTATGTAGTAAAATAGTCTACTAAATACTGATTCATTATAACCAAACCGCAATCAAAAATATGCTATCAGTAAAAAGTTATGACTGAATGAAAAGTCATGTTTTTCACCTTTTCATTCGAAAAATGTTCTTGATATCATTCTATGATCGCACATTTTGGACTAATCTATGCATGTTATGTCATGTCGCTTAGGGTGCCGTGTTAGGTTCTCGCTTAAAGAAAAAAAAATAAGCTGAGAAGATAGACAAAAATATTGGAATACTTAGAATAATGCAAAAGGGGTAAAAATAGTCTTATTTCCAACTGGTTTAATAGTGGTTATAGATGAATTATAGTATAATATTATACTAGCTGTGCCTACGACTTTGTACGCGTGAAAATAGTTTGAATAATATTTCCCATTTTTACAACATTTGTCTTTACTGCTCCGCCCCTATTGGTTGTAGGGTGATGTTACATAACCTTAACCCATCCTTGATAAATGGGCTATCCATAGCAAAAAGAATTTTTCAAATCGGACCAGTAGTTCCTGAGATTAGCGCGTAAACTACTACAATTTTTCAAACAGTCATAACTTTTTACTGACAGCTTATTTTTTTTTCGTCCCATACTGAAAGTTAATCTCTATTTAATGGACTATAAGCCAATATAGGTCTCATTGGTGGTGGACATTTGGACCACTGTTGGTCATTGTCCTTTGATATCATCATTTTAATATTTTTAATTTTCATACTAATAAATTTTATAAAATCCGATTTGTATGAAAATTAAAATAATTAAAATGAAGATATCAATTTTCTGACTTCACCATACCATTTATATGACCATGTTAACATGGGCTAGTGTCAACTCATATACCCATTTACCTAACACCCTGTATACAATTGTATAATTATTGCTAAAATGTAACTCACCTCAAAAACTCCCGCAGGCGATCCACTACGGCGTGTGGCACTGCTTCACATTAAAGCACTGGGGGCGCGCCATCAAGCTGCTGGCCAAGATACAGGAGGACCGGCCCTCCAAGGAGGCCGAGGAGCGCCTGCTGCAGGCCTACGATCAGCTCGGCTGGACGCACCTGGAGCGCCACGCGCGCCACGCGCTCCCGGCGCGCTTCCCAGCCGCCTACCGCCCCTTCTGATGGCCCCGTCTGGAATACAAGTAACGGCTTCGTCAGGTTGAAGCGTTGTCAAAGTCAAAGTCAAAATTTCTTTATTTGTTTGGACTAATAAATAGTTCTCACAAATCGTCATTTTGCTCTTAAGGAGCCTCTACATGTCTCATAATCTTTTTACCCTACCAGCGCTTCGAGACCAACATTTGGCAAGTGCTGAGAAGAAGCGCCGCAACAAACTCAGTCACCACTGTCTGCCGGTTAATATAAATAAATAGAAATAGTAGTAGTAGGTACATTCGATTCAGGAGCAGTTCACTGAATTTACCATGCATTCTTGTATGGTGTATCTTATAAGAATGGGTATNCGTGCTAATATCTAGACTACATATTGAGATACTAGTAGAAATGACTCGCATGAAGGATTTGTCACACTGGATGCGGTCTACGGTCAGCTCCAAGTGAAATGTACCACTGTACATTTTGTATTGATTGCGAGCAAAGAACGCAAACCGCTGACAGATTGTCTTGCCTGGACCGCTGACCGATTGCCCCGTTTATACGTAACGCAGGCTGCGTTCACTTCGACCTGACCATAGACCGCATCCAATGAGCTATCGCTATCGCATCTACATTCTACCAATACGATTCGGCGCTATATCTTGACGTCACGCTATTTGGCGAAACCTTACATAGCAGCAAAACCACACCTTTTTTTGAACGCTGAGAGCGACGGGACTAAGTGAAGGTGGCTGACCACCCTGGAAATTTTATGGCTTATTTTTTCTGGGTGTAAGACATCGTTACGTCACGAAATCCTTAGTTAGAAAGGAGGGGGAGGTAGCTGCACAATGAAAATTGATGCCTCTACGTAAAATAATCTGTATGCGCCTGTCTGAATAATTTGGATCTTTCTTCCCTCACCTGGAACGAATGCTGGGTACGCCCATTTGAGTTCCATGACGCCTTTCAGCTAGGTGGAGTGACAACTTGCAAAAGGTCATAAGTTGTCGCTGACAGGGGCTGGTTTAAAAAACGGTTGCGACTTGTCCATTTAATTTTAAAGGCGCAGATAAACTATAGGCATTTTTAACCTCGTTTTATCACGACTGCTCATTAGTATTATGAATAAAGTTGTGGTCAACACCAAGGCATACCCTTTTAACATTTTGACGTGCATTTTTAAACCACTCATCACCTAGTTTATTAACATAGTAATATTTGTGTAAAGTTGGGTATTCACCTTACTTTTCATCACCTGCATCTTACGGAGAATGGCTAACGTTATGTGAAGATTGACGTGACCCTTAGTAAAATTTTTAATTTAGCAAAATTTACAAAAATCTACTTTTAAAACTGGATTTCACAATGTTACGAAATAATAAGTGCTCTCTGTGTTTGTATTAAGGTGTATACCTGGCCTAGCTAGTTAAGCTAAGCTGAGTTGTGTACGAGCTAGCTTGTAGTGGAGTACATTGACGTCCAGCATACGCACATGTATATAGGCGCACGGCAGTGCGGGCCAAGTTCCAATTATGGAGTTTTAGCTTTGATCTTTCTAGTTAATTCTAGTTCAACGGGATTTATATTATCAATATTTAAAAATTATCGCTGTCCAAACCTAATCGTAGTAGATGTATCAACATAATGAACGTGTATCCTAAACAGCGATTCAAACAGTAAATATTGATATTAAAAATCTTATTTAAATCAATTTAGATCTTAATTGTTCATTAAATTTGGAGATCTATGTATTGTCTAAATTAAGTACCTAATCAAATGCTTACAAAAAAAATCTTATATTTTATTTCTTTGGACTTGATGCTTTCGATGTTAAAGGTTGAAATTACATAAATAAATAATTACTAAATAAATAGAACTTGTCTTGCCAGTGTTCCAAAAATGGAATGTTTTATTTTACTATTTGTACTGATGGTATGCAATTGGGCATGTTACATAAAATCGCATTACTCAAGCCCTGTATTATTTAAATAAATAATAATAAAAAACGCTATTCAGCTGGTCTGTTTAATTAAAGTGTGTCAACAGTATTGTAATTTCTCCCTTATATCAATGCATATTTAGGTTCTATTTTTTTTACTTTAGTGACAGGGTGCTGATTTCTGTTGTGTGCTCAAAATCAATTACGATTAACACACTTATTTTTAGTATAATAAGGGATCACCATACTTGTTCAAAGGGAATGTTTATAAATATTTGAAATTGTCTCTTTCTGTCTTATTGACAGAATATAAAAGAGATAGAATACTAATTCTGATTTCAGATATCGAGTGTTTGGAAAATCAATAATCTTGTAGGTAATTTGAACAAGGTTGATAATCCCAAAGATAAAGGACTACAAGCCATTTTCGGCATTTTAGAGTACATGAATCAGTTTATTTTTATTGACTTATACATATTCCTGAATGAACTCTATCACGTACCCCACAAAGCCGTATTTAGCTTGTGTTCCAATTTATCCTTTTTTTACATGAAATTATTATTTTTTCAAATGTATTTTTATTTATAGTTTTAGTTACGAAATCTAAAACGACGACGACCTCATTAGTGTAATTGTAAGAACTGATTAAATAGCAATAATACCATAGATTGTTATATCAGTAAAAACATAAAAATATACACGAAATATTTGTTCATATACCCTGAAATAATTTTGTAACAGCATAACGTAGATTCAATAATATAAAATCTATCGAAGTAATTCATGGAACCGTTTGTTGTTTCAGGGTATATGACAAAAAAGCTTTATTTATTTAAAACAATAAAAAATATGTATATTTACAGGCTTTAGTAAACCAACTGTGGACGTAAGAGTTTTAGGTATTAGTAATAATATTAAGACATTGTGTTCATAGTCACAAATAGTGATTTTAACAGTATATTGTAAAGCAGTGACGACAAGAAAAACATTTTTGCTCATTACAACCTTTGGTAAGATACTCATCGTTTGAGTTTACTTTCAAAAATATTTGCAAATGTTTGGCGAATATTTAAAGCTAAGATTTTGTTAAATTAAATAACTTTGCTGCATAAGTCGCAAATCTATGTTAACATTTGTCAATCAATATCCAATCCAAACTTTGGTCAAACATTTTGGTTTGTTATTCTTGTCTGTCACAGGGCAATCGGCACCACAATTGTTTACTATCTCTTAAAAGTTTTTTTATTTTCCTCTTCCCTAAAAATCTAAACCTCCAACTACGAAAATATTAAAAATATACCTGCCTCTATCCTCGGAAATACTAAAAAATGGAAGAGACTGACTTTCAGTAGTTGATAGTAAACATTTGTAGGCTCATGTCCGTTGTATTATAAGTCACAGTAACTGGACTGAGTATTTCGTTGCACGGAAGTGAGCTAGCCAAGTTGGCATTCAAACCACAGCACACTCCGCAGTTGGTAATGATACTATGCCAGTCAGAGTTGTACGTTAAGTGATGAAATAATATTGTGCTTCGTGATTATGAATTAAAGATTAATTTTTTAAGTGAATTGTTGGTGAGGAAGGAGAAAATAAATATTATTTGATGAAAAATTTGTGCTTTTATTTTAAGGAAACTAAGGATAGTGAGCGATGAGTAGAGGAGCTTAAAAAGTATTTTTTTTATGGAATGAAACATTTTATGTAGAGGTACTTATTGAGTGGTTACCTTGTAATGTGCAAGTAACGTTGACCCATTTACTAAATATTATAGTGTGCGCGTGCACAGATTCTACTATACCTACATGTACACATAATATTTCCAACATTTTTGAGCACTTAATATAACTTCCGTAAATATTTATGGGCACATTTCCCCCCGTGATTATTGTACATTAATATCGACGCTTTTTCTGACATAAAAATAATGTCCCACCGTCAAAAAAAGCTCAAAATCTCACCGGACAATCGGCGCCAAAACATAATGGGACACACACAAAGCGTGTGCAATGAAACAGGCCGTTTTGGCGCAGTAACGCCTGCCCCAGCTTTTAAATTAGCTAATTTATTACGAGTTGAAAAGGTACGCGCAATTTACGATTCCGCCCTGAATTCGTCACGCCCACGAATAGTAGTACAGGTGCCTTTTGGGCGTTTTAGGACAGTTAATTTAATTTTACGCTTAGCATTAAAAAAAGTGCACATTTGAAAGATGTAGAATTGTTGTAACCCTATATTTGAAAGAAAAATAAGATTGTTATTGTTACAAATTACAATTACAACAGTATTTATCACATTGAGAGTAGTAGTGTGATAGTAGGTAATTAAGTACTTAGTTTTGTAAAGAACTTAAGCGCCAGTTAGGCATATTTCCTGGAATGCCCACTTTCCCAAATGACATCACATCCAGCTTTAGACGGCAAGTCACAACACGAGTCTATCTCGTAAATAATTCCGGGCGAACTTCTCGATTCGGAGTAAGTTCGCTCGCCCGTACTTATTCTTCGAAGTCGGTAATTACTTGACTCCCGGCTGATTGGGCAGGCAATGGCCGGAGTTAAACAATTAGCCCGTGGGACACTTGCGATTGACTTTTTCTTTAAATAGAATGGGAGATTGGCTTCTTAGATGTGCAATTAACGATTGCTATACAGTTGTGAAAAGGTTTCAAACTGGTTAGGTTCAGGTGAAGGGAGGAAGAAACTTGCTTTTGTAGAGTAGGTACATACCTACATGGGACAGTGAAAAAATGAGTCAATCCATATTCGTGTTGTAGGTAACCTTCTTTTAACTTAACCGCAATGTTCTTACGGCGCTGTGTTAAATTGTCCAAAGATTTATTATTATTATGTTTGTACGCTTTGGAGCTCACGGGTCAAAAGTGGCCCGGTCCTTTATAAGGCTTGCGTGGGGATACAGATCCAACACGTAGAGGCCGTTTTAAGCGCAAAATAATCGACAAAAGTGAAAGTGGTGCACATGCTGGATCTAGTCTCTGACCATATCATGGGATGTAGCCAGAGACCATCCTCAGCCTGTGCACAGGAGCTATTGCAGTTATTGGAGAATGGACTGGTTACTGGGCTATGGATGGAGACTACGGGACACCTGCCTGGTTCATAGTCTCGGAC